TTATGGTTTTTTTTTTGTCATTTTATACTGTAATGGAACAGAAAAAAATCTTGTTTGTTCTATTTGTGAAAAAAAAGGTGATTTTTTTTGTTTTTTAAGGGGGGGTTTGGTTAACTAAAGAAACATAAAAATTGGGGGGGGGGGGGGATTGAGGTCAATCCCGCTCGGTTTTCTTTTTCTTTCAATTTTATCAAGTGTATTTTCTCTAGGCTCCTCTCTATTTCAAAAGTTATGAAAGCTCTTTTTTTTATGTTTGAGACATTTTTTATTTGAATTTGGTGAAAAATAAATGACAAGCGAGGTGTGGTTCTACAAGCTTAAAAAAGAATTAAAGTTCTAATTTTAAAGCTTATGGGAAGTACAGTACCCCTATTACTTATTTTATTTCATATTTTATAGCTTCCTATCAAGTTCTTTAGTAAATGTTCCTTCGACGAGCCAAAACTGCACTTTCTGGTCGGCTTTTTACAACTGGTAGTCTTAATGCCATAAGTGAGTCTTAGTCTAAATCTTAGTTGATACAGCAGTGTAGTTGTAATGTTTCTTTTACAGCCTGTCTCACTTCTCTGTTCTTCCAGCAGTACAGCAAGGGGTTTAACGACGAGTTTAAAAACACTAAAGTAGCTGTAAATTGCCTTGCCAGGTAAGTAGATAAAGGCATTCTTCCCCTTTGAGGTGTTAAAGCTACAGCTAAAACGTACGGTAGATAACAAATAACCAATGTTACCTGCATCCACAGTGCACTGTACACTGCCTTTCTGTATCGAGCTATATTCAGTGTATTTACTTGGCTCGATTGTCCTTGAACAACATGGTTCTGACCATGAATTTGGTTATGACGCAGAGACATGAAAATTTTTGTGTAGGCACAGATTGTAGTGAGTAAACAAAAAGCTGCACCTATATATATGAACAATGATTCTATAAGACGATTCAGAAAAGAGGTAGATGCACTGCCAATAGACACAATCCAACCACCAATAGCAATTAAACGTGTTCTCTTCAAAGTCACAACTTGTCTGTATCTGAGACCCAGTAGCAAAGCGAGAAGTCTGTCCACACTTATTGCAGTCAGTGTTATCAACGACACTGAACACAAAGTAACACTTGAGAAATGTTCTGTCAAATATGTGTAATAGCAAATATCCCATCTTCTGTTCACCACAGATATCGAATATGCAACGGTTAGAGGCTCGACAATGATACCAACGCAAAGATCGGTTATCGCTAGGTTACGATACAGGAGTCTGGATGACGGATGAATTGATGTGTCCTTGCGAAGGGCAACTAGGATCAGAGTATTCCCCAAAAATGCTGTAATTGACAAAAAAGTGTTAATGACAGAGAGAAAAACGAGCTCGCCATGTACCTCTCCAGTAAATTCCACAGAGCAGTAAAGTTCTGCAATTGTTTGCTGGTTTTCACCTCCAGTAAAATTTTTCATTTCCATGACTTTTCTGCGATGCGGCTACAGTCAACTGAACTCTTTTTTAATATATCTGTCCTCCTTATATGACTGCTACATACACCTTCTCAGCATACAATTAAATATTTGCTCCGCATTTTCAGTTCATTAAACGATGGAATTCGACGATCTTGGTGTTGCCTCTGTGTTGCGGTGCGATTAGCGAGCAAATAGCACAATTGCCTGGCTCTTAGAAAGCGAGTTAAACTGTTTGTAATAAAAAGTCTATTACCAAGTCTTGATCGATATTTCTGTATGATATATTCAAATTGAATAAAAAACGGTTTTCGTCAATTGCTAGAAGTTAAACTGACAAGCTCATAATGTCATCGCAGGCAGTGAGGTCTCAGCAACAATGTAAAAGTTTTCATCTAATGGGCTCGAAAGTCTGGGCCATCTATGAGGTTTGAATTAAAGAAAATAAAACGTTCGTTCGAGCTTAGGAAATTAGAATGTAACCTGTTTTTATCACATAAAAATCATGCAAAAAAAAATTGATTCGACGACTAGCTGACAGCAATCAGCAGTTTTAGTAAACATAGTGAGAGCAAGAACGAGAAAATTTTGCTAACGAAGGTGTTAAGTTTGTGAGCCGAACATATGATATGCGGTGCCGTAAACTGCCGCTTAAAAGCCCTGGGATTATACATGTTTTTAAGGGTTTTTAGAAGGGGTCTTGATAAATTAAACGGAGGGGCTTATATCCGAGGGGGATTATAACGGAATTGGAAAAAGCTCTTCGAAACAAGCTAACGCAGTGCTGATTTAAATGTGTTTTGCAGTTACTGGTAAAAGCTTGAAAATATCATAATAAATCATTTTCATTTTAATGCAAGTTAGAGGGGAGCTTATACTGACGAGCCTGTTACTGGTGGGGCTTATATTAAAGAGTTTCTGTATTTTGTAGCTTCAAATTGCTTGTGCCGTTTTTCTTCAACTCTAACTGACGTTCACATGGATACCAGCACTAAATTGGCCACATTTTCTTTAGAAGAGGAAGTCTTAACCGAGTATATCCCCAAACATGTCAAACTTTGTGGGCTATAACTTTAACATTTTGGGCGGTTTATTTGCAATTGCTTAAATTGCTATTTCACTACGTCAAGATTATATCTTCATTTAAATTGCTTTTTAAATTTATTTCCCCCGTTCACATCGTCTTCCTGCGCGTCCAATTCGGATGTGTTGTATGAAAGGTAAAATATTTAAAATTAAAAACGCCATGGTGACGTTCATTTCGATTGAGTATAGTGAACCCAAAGTATTAACATGGAACTTGCACCATCATTCACCATCATATTTAGCTATCCTCTTTTGTCTTAGAGAAAAATTAGCTCGTCATGTACCTCCCCTCGACTCTCCAGTGAATTTTGCAGAGCAATACAGTTCTCTAATTGTTTGGTAGTTTGTCATTACCATGACTTTTCTCCGAAGCAACTACGTTCAAGCGAACCTTTTTTTAATATATCTGTTTTCCTTATGTGATAGCTTAATAAACGATGGAGTTATTGGCAATCTTGTTGCTGCCCTGCAGTGGGCAAAACAAATAGCCCAATTGTCTCGGGGTATTAGAAAACGAGCTAAACTGTCATGATGATGATGATGATGATACCTTTATTAAAGTGTCAAAACTGTAATAGCGATGTATAACCACTAAGTGGGGACAATAAAATAAGTTAAAACGAATAAATCAATCAATTAATTAATTAATTAAAAATAAAAATAAAAAAACAGAATATAAGAATTAAGAAATTAAGAAAAACTATGTACAGTATAAGCATATAAGAAATTCGGGAGAACTATACACAATATGTACAAATGTATCGATTATCGATTTTCGTCAATTGCCAGAAGTTAAACTGATCTCACAATAAACATTGTTGAATTTTGAAAAAGCAATATTTTGGAAAAGTACTTTCTTTGCGCCCTGATTAGTTTTTACCAACCAGAACTTATGACGTTTGTCTTAATTATAGCATAGTGGTTCTTGTTTGATAAACAGCTGCTATTTAGGCTACTATATTTTATAGTTTCCTGTCAAGTTCGGTCGGCGGTTTACAACTGCTAGTCTTAATGCCATAATTAAGTCCTAGTCTAAGTCACAGTTGATACAGAAGTGTATTTGTTGTAATGTTTCTTTTACAGCTTGTCTCACTTCTGTGTTGGGGGCTTTTAAATGTTTCTAGTTTGTCACTTTTTTCCGAAGCAACTACGTTCATAGCTCACCTTTTTTAAATATATCTGTTTTCCTTATGTGATAGCTTCATCATGTCGAAAACCAATTAGATATGCCGTGGGCTGTATTTTCATTTTATTAAACGATGGAGTTATTGGCAATCTTGCTGCTGCCCTGCAGTTGGCAAAACAAATAGCCCAATTGTCTGGGGGTTTTAGAAAACGAGCTAAACTGTCATGATGATGATGATGATGAGGCCTTTGTTAAAATGTCAAAACTGTAATAGCGGTGTATAACCACTAAGTGGGGACACTAAAATAAGTTAAAAAAGAATAAATACATAAATAAATTAATTAATTCAAAATGAAAAAAAAAAAAAAAAAACCAGAATATAAGAATTAAGAAATTAAGAAAAACTATGTACATTATAAGCAAATAAGAAATTCGGGAGAACTATATACAATATGTACAAATGTATCCATTATCTTATAAAAATAAGAAATCAGTGATATAAAGTTTATTTACCGATTCTTGATCGATACATCTGTAGAACAAAGATTCAAATTGTTTAAAAAAGGCCAAGTTTAATCAATTGCCAGAGGTTTAACTGACGCGATCATATAGAGTCAGTAAATTATTAATGTACTATTAATCGTCTGATCGCAACCAAGAAGTATATACATGTTCAAAAAATGGGTTACTTTATGTCTGGGTCAGTTTGTACCATACTTACGAGATGAGAATTAAAGAGAAAAAAATGCTTTACGTTCGTTTTTTGCTGCTACTATCTCTCTTTTTAAATCCAAATTAAAAACATTTCTTCTTAGTTGATTAACCATTTGTAAATAATAGTTGTTTTTTGCTGCTATTTGTCTGTTTTGTCCGTTTTGTTTTGCTTGCTTTTTATCCTAATTATATTTCAGTATAACTTTGCCGTTTATTTATTCATTCTGTTTAGTCTTAGTTTAGGGAGGGAACTCATATAATAAGCCCCAAGGTTTCCATTTGAGCTTCCTCGCCAGAAAAATTTTGTTTAATTCTTTTCCTTTCAATTTATGTCTCTTTAATCTTTAAATAACATTTTTGTAATATATTGAATGTCTGTATACATATGTATCAAGAAGTTCTTTTCTGGCAGAAAAAAAAATTAAAATAAAAAAACTGAAACTGAAACTGTTTCAGAACTTAGGGAATTATTTGAATGTAACCCGTTTTTCATCATAATAATAAACATGAAAAAAATTCTTAAATCTGAGGATTGGCTGAGAGCGATGCAGTTTTATTAGACACAGCTAAAAGAGCAAAAACGACGAAATATAATGCAAAAACAAGGTAATAAAATGTAAATATATATATAATAGAATTGAGTCCAGTGGTGAAAAGGCGCCGCTGAGCTTCACATCTCGGTAATACTTTGTGGAATAACGGCCGCCGAGCTACACAACTCGGTAGATTTACTTTCTGGAATAACGGCCGTTGAGCTCCACAACTCGGTAGATTTACTCTGTGGCACTACGGGCGCCTAGCTACCCAACTCAGTAGATTTACTTTGTGGCACGACGGACGCCGAGCTTCACAACTCGCCGGTAAATTTACTTCGTGGCACAACGAACGCCGAGCTAAACAACCCGATCAGGAGTCGCACGCATTTTCCAAAGAAAAATATGAAGGCTTAATCAAAGGAAAATTTCACCCTGGGTGTTAACTTTCAGCAAACTTTTGAAAGATGAACGCTTTTGAACATTCATTAAACACAGATCGATAGTAGACCTTCAGCAAACTCTTAAATATGTAAGCTTTACCAAGATTCAGCACTCTTTTAAAAGATGAACGCTTTACGAAGACAGAAAAGCAGACCTCAGCAAACGTTTGAAAGATGAACGCCGAGGACACACGAATCACCACGTGAGTTAGCGTGTCAAAGAGAGGCAAAACGTAAGCAAGCGCCTCAAAGCGAGGCAAATGTGTGTCGACACAAATGCAATCTCGAAAAAACCTCGCTTATTAATTGCACAGGACACCCAACAGAAATTAGGGGTTGCGTTGTCGTACCTCGAAAGCAATGACTGAACTTTAACCCACATATAAGAACCTGTTTGATCTTGCTTGGCGAAACAGGTTCTTTTATGTTTGAGTAAATTAAAGTGGACAATTTCTGCCAGCAGGTTTTTAAACCACTAGGTTCTTATACGCGGGTGTTTTCTGTAACACATTTAATCAGTGTAAATTAAGCCAGTAACCGAGTCACGTGATATACCGCTAGCCTGAATGGAAAACTGAAATTCTCCAGTGAAATAAATTCTGCTCGCGGCTTTCCCCATTTTACTGGAGTATGTGGGCTTTGTGTATCGCAATGTAACCGTTCGTTTCTTTTCGGGGAGGATTTTTTCGTAAAGCAAGTTTTGGTTTGGAATGAATTTATAGCTAAAAAGCAGAGTAGACCATAGTAAACTAACCGCTCCATCGATGGACGAGTGGCCTTAATGTTGTTTTCACGGCTAATTTCACTTCTCTGATCTTCCAGCAATAAATAAAGGGGTTCAGTGATGAGTTTAAATATACTAAAGTAATTGTTAATTGCCAAGCAAGGTAAGAGGATAAATGCATTCCTCTTTGATGTATGAAAGCTATCGCTATGATAAGTGGCAAATAACAAACGACCAATGCTGCCTGTACCCACAGTGCACTGTACACTGCCTTTCTGTATCGAGCTATGTTCATTTGAATTGCTTGGCTTTCTCCTTGTAAGGGGTGGATCCGATGAATTTGGTTATGACGCAGACGGAAGAAAATTTTTGAGTGAGCGACGATTGTGATGGCTAAGCACAGCGCTGTACCTATGTAGTGAACATACTCTCGTATAGCTGTAGAAGCTGGTACGCCAACAACAGAAACAATCCAGAAGGCAAGTATAGCTATGTATGTCTTTTTCACAGTTACAACTTGTTAGTATCTGAGCCCCAGTAGCAAGGCGAGAAGTCTGTTCACACTTATTGCAGTCAGTGTTAATAAAGACACTCCACAAAAGGTATAAGCTGCCAAAGTAACCATCAAATGAGCCAGATAACAAATGTCCCATTTTCCCGTCACCACAGAAATCCAATAGACAACATGGAGAGGCTCCGCAATGGTACCAACACAGAAATCAGTTACGGCTAGGTTACGGTACAGGAGTTTGGACGGCGGGTGAAGTGAAGTTTCTTTGTGTAAAGCAACTAGGATCAGAGTGTTTCCCAGAACTGCTGTAATCGACAGAAAGATGTTTACAATTGACAGAAAGATCAGTTCACCTTGTACCTCTGCAGTAAATTCCGCAGAGCAGGATAGTACTACGATTGTTTTCTGGTTTTCGCCTCCAGTAAAATTCTTCAGTGCCATTACAGGTCTGCCTCGGAACTACGTGCAAGTGAGTGCTATATAAATATACCGATATGGGGCTCTCCTTTACTGTTTTACCTTTTATTATCAGAAACTAATATTAGCTAAGTGCACAGTATTTACTTATTTACCACTTGATTGAGGTGGCTCAACTTAGAGGTTCCATTTACAATTCTTTTCCACTTAACGGAGAGGTTCAACTATATATATAGCACATTATATGAGTCACGGCTTATGACTAATCTGTTATTATCAAAAAGATCCTTGTATCAACTCAGTCTTGATTAACTTTGCTGCTAAACAACGTTTTCGTATAATTTATTCTTAATATCAAATTGCTTTAAAAAACGGTTTTAGTTACCAATTGCCTGGAGTTTGACTGACGCGCCAATATAGGGACACTAAAATCTTAGTGTTCAATTTTTAAAAAGAAATTTTAGGAGAAAGTATTATATTTGCACCTCAATTATTTTACCAAACTGAACTAATGACGGATAGTTTAAAATAATAACGTGACGGCTCTTTCGGTAGGAACACCTGTTACTTTTCTTAATGCCCGTTTATTTGTCCTCGCTATTTTGTCTGCGATTTCATTGAACGACGCGAAAGTGAGTGGTTTATAGTTAACTGCGGCGGATCCAGGGGAGGGGCCCGGGGGGCCCGGCCCCCCCTTATTTTTCGACCAAAATGAAACCCGAAGGGGCAAAAAAAATTTTTTTAGAGACCGACCCCCCCCCTTATCTCAGGGTTTGGATGTCCGCCCCCCTCCCCCTCCTTATGTGAAGAACAGCTAAGGTCTGAATCCGCCACTGGTTAAAGAGAAAAACACTACTTAAACAGTGGAAGGTGATATCGATTCGTTATTTTACTTAACACAAGAGTAGCTTGTGTGTAGACTTCTCCTTGATTCTCCTCCCAACTGGAAGTTTTCCTAAATACAAGAACTGGTAAAATTTTCGGCGAAAGTGTGTCATTCAGTCGACATTTCCGAATATTCCGGTAACACAATCAAGTGGAAATTTTAAATCCCTCCATAATTGTCAAAAATACGAGTTATCCTTCTTGTGTACTATTTTCCCGGGAAAATTTCGAAAAACCTGAAAATTACACTGTTTTTTCATGCGTTACTTATAGGGATTTATCGGAATTCTAAACCGAAATTCACTTTGTTACTGAAATAGAAAATTTCCATAATTATTAGCCGATTGTAAGGATTCTTAATTTAGCTTAGGAATGAAATTATTTTTCCTTTTTTTATCCGCTGAATGTTTGTCTTCCAAACTAAAATATCGGGTAATTTTACCGTAAGTATATTTTTAGTTTTTCTATTATTTCTTCATCGCTTCGTTGCCGTCAGGATCAGTTTGCTGTTTACAGCTATTTCGAGAAAGGTTGTCGGAAAAAATGTGAACGCAACAATCCCGAAAGGTAATATGGGATATGATCAATACACTGTTCCTGACGACTGTAGCTGTCGTCGAACCTACTTTTGTTGCTTTCCTTTAGCATTCGAAAACACACTTCCATAACCTTTCGTGCCAACTCTTTCAAATTTCTTTGTAGAACAGAGAACTCAAATCCACCCATAGTGCCTTTCGCGATTGTCGCGTGCACTTTTTCCGACAACCTTTGTCGAAATAGCTGTATATATTTCTTGCATACTGCCAGCTGACTGAGGAATCCCTCAGTTAAGCCTCGAAAGGGGGAGGGGGAGGGGGAAGGGGGAGGGGGAGAGCTTATTTATATCAGACATGTTTTGATAAGGGGGGAGAGGCTTAATTAAGAGGTGGGCTTGTTTAATTTGGGGCTTTAGATATTGCCTTTTCAAATAACTAGAAGACGGTGTCGTCAGTGGTATGGTCTTGTATCAATTCTCCATGAATAACTAGAACGCAAAGTGGAAAACCTCAGCATCTGTAGTTGGAGGTCATGCAGCCTTAGATAAATAGCAACTTCCAGTTCGAGAATCTGGTTAATAAACCATACCGGATCAGTCAACATGAAGTGCTAAAGCAGTGATTAGTCATTACGAATAGTCAATACTATGTATCATTATTTTATAAATTTTGTTAGGACCAATGAATAAGGGGCGGGGGGGGATTGAAAAGGAGGGCTGAGAGAAGGGGGATTAATAGAAGATTTACCGGTTTATGGGTGTGTGCAAGAGCCATAATAGGACAGAGAGGGACACTCAGGGCGTTGGCCGGGATATCTTAATCCCAAAAAAGTTATTTTTAGAACTATGCGGACCATGCGAAAACAGTTTCCGGTAAACTGGTTGACTTCCGGAAGACTCGCTTTCACGATTTCAGGGCGCCAAAGCGAGGCGGCGTCAACAAATAAAAAAAATGGCGGCACAAGTGGAGGGATGATGTGAAGTTGATAAATTGGCCTTCTTCAACAAAGAACCTACCATAAAAACTGCTTAAAACTTCTACACAAATGGGTTCTTTACAAGCAACGGTAGAAATCGGTAAAAGCGACCGCGTGACCATCGTTTTTGTTTGAACAGCTGGAAAGAGGACAAGAAGCATTGCGGCCCGGATAAGCGTTGAAGACAAAATGCNGTGTGTGAATTAATTCCGGTCTTATAATTCAGCTGATAATTCGGCAATTCGACCAAATAGACCTTGTTTCGTCAGCTAGTAATATGGCTTTTCCGTTCCTAAAAATGTAAAAAGATGAAGATGTACGTTCATAATACTGTTAACTGTGTACGTGGTCCAGACGAAGTTAATCGATAAACCGATAATCGATATTAATCTATAGTAATCGATATCAATCATCGATAAATATCGATTTCCGATATCGATCAATAGAAATCGATAAAGAAAAGGGTGTGACTTCGATTAATATCAATGATTTTCCGATAGAAATCAATGATGATTTTTTATCGCTTGTTATCAATTACTATCAATTCCGATCGATTGGTATTGATTTTATTAATCGATAATAATCGATAAATTAATTTTTCCGTGACTTCGATTTCCATCAATTCCGGATATCAATTGATATTAACCATTGAATTAAATCGATTGATATCGATTTATTTCCGATATCGATTTTTATCGATTAACTCCCTCTGGCATGGTCGAAGGTGTTAGCGTACAAACACGGGATCAATTCAATCAATAGCCCTTTTGCATTAGTTCCATACAAATCCTTGTAAATTTCGAAATTTTTGAACTGTCATAAAATATTTCCTGAAGCATCAAGAGGCTCAATTCTCCTTTTTATTCATAACAGGCAATTTGAGCCCTTAAATGCGTAAGGGAAAGATTTAACAACAGTTCAAAAATTTCAAAATTTACAAGGATTTGTTTGGAAAACCTTGGTGGCAAGAGTTTTTCCCGAGAGGTGTTTTTCTTTTCTTCTAATTTCCGACGACCGTTGCAATCGCTTCTTTTGAGATATACGGCTGAAATCTAATCTCAATATGCTCTTTTGGTTCCTACTAACAACATTTCACCGTACAAATAAACTATTTCTGTGTTTACAAAAAGTTGATCACGTGACCAACTATTGCAAAAGGCGTATTCAATCAAACTTTATAGTAAATATTTCCCTGTTGATTAAGAATTTACTAGGCTGGGTTGCCCTCCAAAGACTTTCCTAAATATGGTATAACGGTTGTAGGAAGGGAGGAAACAATATTGAAAAGAGGCAATAAGAGCCTCATACTATCTCAAATTCAATGAAATTAGCAATGTGAAAACTGAGTTCACCTTACATTTCCTCCCTTTCCTCCCTTTCTACAACATTAACATATTTCGGAAAAAATTCGCAGCGGAACTAAGCGCAGTAGATTCTCACGTGTTGCATAGGAATTTGATGTTACTACAATAAGAAATCTCAGAGCAAAAAGAGTTATCCAAATAGATCTATGAAATCGCTTCAATAATTAATTTACTCATTTTTGAGCCTACTTTAGACAACTTTAAAAGTTTTCAATGGACACGAAATTTGGGAATTGAATATGCGATTGCGAGAGGCTGGTGACGAGGCAAACGCAGAGTGATTAAAAACTTTTTAAATAGACACAAAGTCGACACGGAGGTATAGAGGTTCCCCAATGGGTTTTTCGGGATCCGTGCGGTTTCGTTGCGTTGCGTTGCGTTACGTTATTCTAAAATTTCTGAGAGTGAATCTATTTTTGTTCAGAGAACATAAGTGTTTTTTTACAAATGATAAAAAATTTTTCTTGAAGGCACAGATTACAGTTTTTTGCTAGCCTTGTCATATGGTTTACAATTCCTGAGTACTTTCCCCTGCACGTGAAAGGATCTGTTGGCATCTTTGAGGATCCAAAGCTGTTTGGACAGTTCCGTCTCGTTTCTTCTGTTCGCGTGTCGGAAGGATGTCAAGTGATTTCTGTACCGTTCTTTGAAGTTAGTGGCTACTGAGTCCAATGTATGATTTTGTTGTCGTCCCAGTCGTTACAGTCGCTTGGTAAATCACGTTTTGTCTGAGGCAATTACCGTCAAGAAACGGGAGTGCCCGGCTCTTGAAGGTAATTGCCTGCAACCGACTAACTTCAAAGAACGGTGCAGAAATCACTTACTTGACATCATTAAAATTGTGACTCGTTGAAGTACTTCTAGGGACCACTAGTGACCTACTGCCCCGCGTCAGATAAAGGCTTTTAATCGGCCTTTTAATGGTTTCTCATTGTTTTAAATTGCCAAGTAATAGAGTGAGTTGATTTTTTTGCTAAACCAAGTTCAAAAATCCAGGTAAAACTATATATTATAATATATTATATGTATATATACTTTCCTTATATACAGCAACCTGTACGTAACACCTCTATCTGTTGTTCGATTAGTTTACAGCTTGTTGACTGTTGCTCTTCTTCTCTTTGTTAAAGTAAACTGAATTACGTAGGCTGGTAAGCAATCCATAATTCGAGGTAAAACTTTCTCAGTTTGCCGGACCGCTACTGATTGCTATGATTGATGCACTAACCTTAAATAATTATTCAAATTAAAGTTTAATTGCAAATAAAGTCAAAACAACGAAGACTACCATTTCTCCGAGAAGATAAGTTTTTATTATGATTCACCAAACAATCAATTGGCCAAATCAACGTGTTCCTGTTTTTCTGTGTGGCGCGCAATACAAATTACCAAGCTCAGTCAAACTTTCAAATCGAAGCAGTTTTCTCGCCGCTTTTTTTCCCGAGATATGCTGTCTTGTCATGCAGTTCCTTAGGAACGAATTTGAAAGTGAGAGGGGACAAAAGTTAGCAGTGCCGGTGGCGTACTCAACTGTTATATGAACCCAAGGCCCATTTTTGTAAAAGTGCGGGTTTCAAGCCCTAGGGCCATGGTAATGTTTCATCCTTTAAGCACTATATATGAGGCTTCTTTAGCTCTTAGCTGAGAAAGTACTTCGCTTTTGCTTCTAATTCCTACAATAATTCGACCTCGCAACAGACTTTATTTTTGGATAAAACAATTGATACGATGGCAAATAACAACAGTAGGTAATAGTTAGTCATCTGAGCAATCCCCCGAGGGGGACTGATGACAGCCCCTTCTCCTCCATCGATATCACGTTACCATGTGGGTATTCTTAGTTTGCAACCACGTGACAAGGCGGCCATGTTGGCGGTTAATACAATAGAATTGTTTTCTCGAAGAATTTACATGAAAATAGAGGTTACTTCCCAGAGAAATGAAATGCTTTTGTTATAATTCTTGACCACCAACTTGGCCAGAGTGACGTCACCTGCAAACCAGAAGTATAAGTGTTCACTTTTCATTATATCTAAAAACAAAAGCCTTCGTATGCTCGCAAGCTTTTATTAAAATGACCTGTGTTAAGCAACAGAACAATGGTAATGTGTATTTATTGGCCATCAAATTTAACTTACATCATGTACGGGCCCTCAATATCCCACAATAAACATTGTTCGATTTTGAAAAAGCATTCGGAAGAGTAATATTTTTGCGCCGTGATTAGTTTTACCAAACTGAACTTATGACGTTTGTTAAACTTGATTATACTATGAACGTAGTGGCTTTTAAGGTTATCAACAGCTGCCATTTATGCAGAGTATTTTCAAAATAAGTTCGCCATGTACCTCTCCAGTAAATTCAGCAGAACAGTAAAGTTCTGATTGTAAAACATGAGTCAAAAGAGTTTGTCGGTGTGATGTTGCGAGCAAGTGAGCTGTTCTCTTTAAGAATATATCCCTGCTTCGTAGTCTTCATTGGCAAAGAACTAATTAGCTAACTGACTAGTTTTAGTGATATTTTCATTTTATTTTATGATTATTAATAAAACTTTTTAACATAAACAAATGATTTTGTTTGTGTCTTTACAATCTGCAATGAAACAGAAAGCAATCTTAAAGGTGCAATTCGGACTAGGACATTTGTCTGGTTTACTTATATATATTTTCTTATCAAGTTCGTGAGTAAATTTTTTTAGTCTAAGTCTTAGTTGATACAGAAGTGTAGTTGTTGTAATGTTTCTTTTACAGCTTGTCTCACTTCTGTGATCTTCCAGCAGTACAGAAACGGGTTTAACGACGAGTTTAAAAACACTAAGGTAGCTGTAAATTGCAAAGCGAGGTAAGTAGATAAATGCATCCCCCTTTGAGGTGTTAAAGCTACAGCTATACCGTACGGCAGATAACAAATAACCAATGTTACCTGCACCCACAGTGCACTGTACACTGCCTTTCTGTATCGAGCTTTATTCAGTGTATTTACTTGGCTCGATTGCCCTTGAACAACATGGTTCTGACCATGAATTTGGTTATGAGGCAGAGACATGAAGATTTTTATGTAGGCACAGATTGTATTGACTAAACAAAAACCTGTAACAATATAATGGTACAATGAAAAAATAAGAAGATTCAGAAAGGGTGTAGATGCATCGGCAACGGACACAATCCAACCACCAATAGCAATTAAACGTGTTCTTTTCAAAGTTACAACTTGTCTGTATCTGAGACCCAGTAGCAAAGCAAGAAGTCTGTCCACGCTTATTGCAGTCAGTGTTATCAGCGACACTGAACACAAAGTAACACCTGCGAAATATACTGTCAAATGTGCGTAATAGCAAATATCCCTTCTTTTGTTCACCACAGAAATCATATAAGCAACATACAAAGGCTCGACAATGATACCAACACAAAGATCAGTTATCGCTAGGTTACGATACAGGAGTTTGGATGGCGGATGAATTGATGTGTCCTTGTGAAGGGCAACTAGGATCAGAGCGTTCCCTAAAAATGCTGTAATGGACAAACAAGTGTTGACGACAGAGAGAAAAATGAGCTCGCCATGTACCTCTCCAGTAAATTCTGCAGAGCACAAGAATTCTACAACTGTTTGCAGGTTTTCACCTCCAGTAAAAAAATTCATTTCCATGACTTTTCTGCGATGCGGCTACAGTCAACTGAACTCTTTTTTAAAATATCTGTCCTTCTTATATGACTGCTACACCTTGTCAGCAAACAATTAAACATTTGCTTTGTCTTTTCAGTTTATTAAACGACGGAATTCGACAATCTTGGTGTTGCCTTTGTTTTGCTGTGCCATTAGGGAGCAAATAGCACAATTGCCTGGCCTTTAGAAAACGAGCTAAACTGTTAGGAATAAAAAGTCTATTAACCGTACCAAGTCTTGATCGATAGTTCTGTTAAGTGTTTATTCAAATTGAGTAGAAAACGGGTTTTCGGCAATTGCCAGAAGTTAAACTGAAGCCCGCGGCGCGCTGATAATGTCATTGCAGGCACTAAAGTGTTAGTAACAATGTGCAAATGTTCAAATAATGGGCTCTAAAGTCTGGGCCATTACGAGATGGGAATTAAAGAAAATAAAACGTTCGTTCTAGCTTAGGAAATTATGACCTGTTTTTATCATAATAAAAATTATGAAAACATATATATTGAATTCGACGATTAGCTGAGAGCAATGCAGTTTTAGTAAACATAGTGAGAGCAAGAACGAGAAAATTTTGCTAAAGGAAGTGTTAAGTTTGTGAGCCGAGCATATGATATGCAGTGCCGTAAACTGTCGCTTAAAAGCCCTGGGATTATATATCTTCTTAAGGGGTTTTGGGAGGGCTTACGAATTAAAGGGAGGGGCTTATATCCGAGAGGGATTATAACGGAAATGGAAAAAGCTGTTCGAAACAAGCTGGAGCTGTGCTGATTAAAATCAAGAGAGAATGATCCAAGAGAGCGAATCCCTCATACATGACCCTCCTCCCATGAAAATTATTTTCAATCTATTCTTGGTTCTGTGTCATACTGCCTGGTTACTTTAGGGACGCCACCTTATTGGTCGGTTAGAGTGGCGTCATTTAATTTTAAACTTGACGGGTAATTCATTTCACTGCCGATCAGACGCACAGCAAGCGATATGACTTGCAAACTTGGTATTACTTTCGCCGACGAGTCAAAAGATTTCGAATTCTACGTGGAAAAATCTGGCCAGAGTAGTGGCCGAAGAGCAAAACGGTCATGGCTTGTGAAATTCGCCGCAGAAAGCGGTTCCGACTCGACCGAAATTGCTAATTGAGGTCTTCGCTACATTTGCCTGCGTGCAGACGTCTCCTATTTCCTTTGCGTGCAACAAAGGAAATAGGAGACGTCTGCACGCAGGCAACGCTACATCAGTAGAAAAACATTGTACAAAAACGACAACTGTCTCTTCCGGCGACATCCACGCACACCCGCAAGCTGTGATACCGTCGTTTTGATCCAATCGTGGACACGTAACGAGGAAATAGGTTCAAAGAAGAAAAAAAAAACACGAATGTTTGGCCGCCAAACATTTAAATTTTGATAGGGCGCTAGACAAATTTGTGCACACCACTCACTATAAAGAATTGACCGAAACCGGAAACCGCGCATAAAAAGTCTCTGGCATCCAGCCAAAGTTAGCGATTGTCTAACTGCTTGAAGCATCTGACCTAATTTGTGTTCGCAGGGCGAAATATTCAATAGACGTTAAGAAAAAGTAATGCAGTTTGAAACTCTCAAGAATAATTCTTAAAAGCGAATGTACCGTTTCTGAACGAAAAACATTCCTGGAAAAAGAGAAAAAATATCTCGCACATCTGCATAAACAATTGAAGCCATCGACCTTTAAGGTTTTGTGTTTCACGCGTGATAACCTTGGCCTTTGGCTTTCACGGTGTGTCAGATTTCAACATTCGTTACTTTAAATGGCTACCAGCCGTAAGAAAATCTAAATCTTTAATCTCAAAGTGAAATTTTGACTTCAATACTGCAATCCCTTGGTAAATGAAATTCATTCCTAAATTATGAGCGGAACGCGCTGATCAAAAACATGAGAACAACAGGAGCCGATAAGTATCGGCTCCTGGCGCGAATTACTATAATGGCTGTTTGGCGGCGAAACATGTCACGTTCACGTGAAAGTAGACCACGCAGGTCACGGAAATAACAGATAAAAATAACCTACGCAGCACGCGCGCGAACTTTAAATAGATTTAAAAAAATTATCATGGGGCACAGGGATTCGCTCTCTTAGCTCATGCATTCTCTCTTGTTAAAATGTGTTTTGCAGTTACTGGTAAAAGCTTCAAAATATCATAATACATCAAATTCATTTCAATACAAGTTAGAGGGGAGCTTATATTGGCGAGCCTGTTACTGGTGGGGCTTTTAAAAATTAAAGTTGGCGGCTTTTAAGTGTTTCTGTATTTTGTAAATTGCTTGTGCCGTTTTTCTTCAGCTGTGACTGACGTTCACATGGATACCAGCACTAAATTGCTACATTTTTTTTAGAAGAGGAAGTCTTAACCGAGTGTCAAACTGTGTGGGCTATAACTTTAACATTTTGGGCGGTTTATTTACAATTGCTTAAATTGCTATTTCACTACGTCAAGATTATATCTTCATTTAAATTGTTTTTTAAATTCATTTCCCCCGTTCACATCATCTCCGGGCGCGTCCAATTCGGATCTGTCATACGAAAGGTAGAATATTTAAAATTAAAAACGCCATGGTGACGCTGATTTCGATTGAGTATAGTGAAACCAAAATATTAACATGGATCTTGCACCATCATTCACCATCATATTTAGCTGTCCTNCTCTCTTAGCTCATGCATTCTCTCTTGTTAAAATGTGTTTTGCAGTTACTGGTAAAAGCTTCAAAATATCATAATACATCAAATTCATTTCAATACAAGTTAGAGGGGAGCTTATATTGGCGAGCCTGTTACTGGTGGGGCTTTTAAAAATTAAAGTTGGCGGCTTTTAAGTGTTTCTGTATTTTGTAAATTGCTTGTGCCGTTTTTCTTCAGCTGTGACTGACGTTCACATGGATACCAGCACTAAATTGCTACATTTTTTTTAGAAGAGGAAGTCTTAACCGAGTGTCAAACTGTGTGGGCTATAACTTTAACATTTTGGGCGGTTTATTTACAATTGCTTAAATTGCTATTTCACTACGTCAAGATTATATCTTCATTTAAATTGTTTTTTAAATTCATTTCCCCCGTTCACATCATCTCCGGGCGCGTCCAATTCGGATCTGTCATACGAAAGGTAGAATATTTAAAATTAAAAACGCCATGGTGACGCTGATTTCGATTGAGTATAGTGAAACCAAAATATTAACATGGATCTTGCACCATCATTCACCATCATATTTAGCTGTCCTCCTTTGTCTTACAGAAAAATTAGCTCGTCATGTACCTCTACTCGACTCTCCAGTGAAGTTTGCAGAACAGTACAGTTCTCTAATTGTTTGGTAGTTTGTCATTACCATGACTTTTCTCCGAAGCAACTACGTTCAAGCGAATCTTTTTTTAATATATCTGTTTTCCTTATGTGATAGCTTCATTATGTCGAAAATCAATTAGATATGCGGTGGGCTGTATTTTCATTTTATTAAACGACAACAGAGTTATTTGCAATCTTGTTGCTGCCGTGCAAATGGCAAAACAAATAGCACAATTGATTGGTTTTTAGAAAACGAACTAAAGTTTCATATGATCAGTGATACAAAGTTTATTAACCGAGTCTTGATCGATACATGTGGAACAAAGATTTAAATTGATAAAAAAAGGCTTTTTATTAATGTATTATTAATCGTCTCATCGCAACCAGGAAGTCTTAACAGTATACACATGTTCAAAAACTGGGCTAATTTATGTCTGGGTCAGTTTGTACCATATACGTACGAGATGAGAATTAAAGAGAAAAAAATGCTTTGTGTTCGTTTTTGCTGCTACTATCTCTCTTTTTAATTCCAGATTAAAATCATTTCTTCTTAGTTGATTAACCGTTTGTAAATAATACTTGTTTTTGCTGCTTTTTGTATGTTTTGTACGTTTTTTTGCATGCTTTTTATCCTAATTATATTTCAGTATGATTTTGCCGCTTATTTATTCATTGTTATGTTTAGTCTTAGGTTAGGGAGGGAACTCATATAATAAGCTCCAAGGTTTCCATTTGTCAAATGAGCTTTATTGCCAGAAAAATACTTTTAATTCTTTACTTACAATTAACGTGTCTTTAATCTTTAAATAACATTTTTGTAATATATTGACTGTCTGTATGCATATGTATTTCTTTTTTCTGGCCAAAAAAATAAACTGAAACTGTTTCAGAACTTAGGGAATTATTTGAATGTAACCTGTTTTTCATCATAATAATAAACATGAAAAAAAATTCTTGAATCTGAGGATATGGCTGAGAGCAGTGCAGTTTTATTAAACACAGAGCAAAAACTTGGAAATATAACGCAAAAACAAGGTAGTAAAATGTAATATTACATATCATAGAATGGAGTCCAGTAATCGAGTAATAACCAAAAGATATACATAACAACGAGCGGGCAGTTTTTAGGGTGTACTATAAGTAGAGTTTTATCAACACAGGCGAAATACACTTTCTCATTATCATTTTCGCTTGGCCATTACATTCAGTTCAGTTGCGCTCACATATATTGCCCTTCTCGTTTGGCTTTCCAATCTTATGTTCCTTGATGGCAATGGTCTGTCTTTTCTTTTTAATAAGGTTGATCGCCCCAAGTTAGGGAAACCAAGACAGTCTTGGATTCTGGATTCCACGCCGCGGATTCAGGATTCCAGGTACTGGATTCCAGTCTTTGTCAGTGGAACTTGGATTATGGATTCCAAGTGCGATTTAGTGCGATTCCGGATTCTTTAGCTGTATTCTGGACTCAGAAGCGAAGGATTCCGGAATCCACAAGCAAAATTTTGCCGGATTCTAGAAACCAGATTCTCTGCTTACATTCGGTGAGGTTGAGGAAGGCCTAAAATAGCGCACTGCATGAAACTAGGGACTTAAAGATGCCACGACGGCGACGACAACAAGAACGTCAAAAAAGCAATTGGTTGATAAGCAAAACAACAACTCTGCACGTGCATCTCCCGTTTTTGTACATTTCTTTACCTTCACTGCGCGACTACGACGGGAAAATGCCTAATTTCACGTTTAATGGAGGACGTAAACAAGCGACGGCTAAATTTTCTGTCTCATTCTGAACTTGAATATGATTCTTAGGAATTCGGCTCAAAAAGAGTTTGCTTGCATTTCACAAAGTAAACGAGTTCGAGTTATGCGCATTTGATTATTTTTTTTTTCAGAAAATGCGCTATATAATTATTAAATATTATTATTAGTAGTAATCACGATAGAGAATGAGAGAACGCAAATTCACTATTTAAGCGACGTTTTCGTGGCCGTGGCCGTCGTGGTATCTTACCTTAAAAGTGTTTGGTAGCAATTGGAATTTTCATATGAGTGTAAGACCCCAATCTAAAACTACCTCGTACATTACATCTATGATGTCGCCATTTCAGACGTGGACGATACGATCTATCTACTAGTGACACAGTTGATGTCACCGAGAATCTCGTCGCCAGAGAAGTTTGAAGTGCAAGTCTTTAACGAGACTCTTGTCTTTCAGCTTAGGTTTCCTGTTGGGAAAGGGAGCGGTTTCAACACACTGACCTTTAGCGGTAGCAAGGTGTTCATATTGAAGGAACACAAAGTGGTTTATCTATACCATGCAAGGAACGGTAGCTATGTTGGTTCGTTTGGTGAAGCGATAATCGAGTCTGTACAGGAAATCACTGCGTCTAAAGATGGGCGAGTTATGGTGTTGGACTCAGACCAATCCTGACACTTGTTCCATGTAGATGGACTACATCTTGCCAATTTCAGTGTCAACATCCAAGGAGATCGCTATTACCGCAATGCGTGCCATCCAGTTGGTGAACACGTTGTAGTCGCTGATGAAGAAAGAGAGACACACCCCCTGATAGTAGCAATATACACTGTCAATGGAGACTTTGAACGAAAGATTCAGCTGAACGAAAATTTAAACCATAATTTTTTTGGAACACAAAGCCCTGCATTAACAGTGTCTAAGCAGGGTCATATTACAGTGGCTTTTGACGTAAAATGCGGTAGAAGAGTAATTGTGCTTTAAAACTATCGCACTTCTCGAGGAGTCAACAAACCGTAAAGAGGGTATGGATGGGGGGTACAAATGTCCGTTGTCAGTTAACAGTACCGGATCCAGACCTTGATATAAGGGGGGCCCCGGTCATTCAGACCCTTAGATAAGGGGGAGAACCCGGGCTCCCTGGGCCTCTCCCCTAGATCCGCCACTGGTTAAAATTTTAGGCTTTTTGTCAATTGTCAGTTAAATGATTATTAATAATTAACTAAGAAACTTATTCGTATATTTTTGATCCGACTTTTAGCTAAAAGAGCACATAGAGAGCGCATAATGTAAATTAAACATTAAATTCAAAAAATGATGTAATAGTACGTTAATTTTTATCAGTTTGCAATTGACAGGATTTCAAGTAGCCCTCTATTTCTAAAGTCTTGTGTTACTCTCCTCCACACAAACTTTGTACTGGCCAGAGGCCAACATTTCCAACCAATAAGCCAATCACAATTTGTTCCTTCAGAATATATGGACGTAGATCGTAAGAAAGACCAAGAAACACCGCATCTGAATCATCTTGGTAAAAATTTACAACTGCTTTTATAACGTCCTCATTAGCAGTCATCGTGCATCCGTGCTGCTGCTAAGGTTACCCATATAAACTCACATTTGATCACATTTTCTGACTTAAAGAGTGGAACGATGTTTTTAAAAGGCCTTAGAAACAGGTTTTGTAGGAAACAAGAACGCGCTTACAGGTGCATTCCGTCTCGCTTGCTTGGAGATTATATCGAGAAATGAGGAGGCGATTAATTCTACACGAAACAGGATTTACTCGCTAAATCTTTTTTACATCCTACTTTATCGAAGTCGATACTTTTTATTTGTTTCTAAACTGTTTCAGTAGGCGTGTTAGTGTCGACCAGAAATACTTCTGCGGTCACAGGCCATACGCGTGTATAAATACACGAAAATTCAAGGGCCTCGATTCCAGAGAAATTACATCATTGCCAGAGATCAAAAAAGTGATTTACATGGCACGTCAATTCAATCATCGCCGAAAATAAGTCGCATGCTCATCACAAGACCCACCTTATTTTTTTTCAACCACTATGTAGTGTTCACTTGTTCCAAAGTAATTCGTGGACTGACACGTTTCGGAAAAGCTCTAAATTTAATTTTCCTAAGCTTTCGCAAAACGTGCGTGGCTTCGATCAGGCAACGATTCTTAGTCCCAGTTTCCACGGTCTCAGCAAGGAACGCCTGACACAATTACCCCCATTTGTGTATAAAATACGACGAAAAACCCTGGGGAGTACTTCGGGAAAAGTTGGGTGGGCGTGTGCCTCACCCTTCCTGAAACCCTTACCCTGTTTCAGAAAAAAAACTGTGATTTTCCTTACCCTATTTCAGACCTCATCAAAAAATTGGTACCCTATTTCAGACCTGAAGCCCTGGAGCCCGGCGCGTGACCGGAGCGCGTGACAAGCTGTTACGGCACGTACAAGGTTGGCGTGAACATTAAAAGGGAAATGGTCTTATCGCCAAATGATGAAGAAGTAGCTTCCCCTAAAAAACATACCCAATTCACATACCCTATTTCAGACCAGAACGGTTAAGAAACCATACACTTTGGCGCCGTACATACCTATACAGCCCATAAAAGGGAATACCCCCCCTGGCGAAAAACGCATTGCAGATTATCAGTCTCACTGCTTACGCATGCGAGAGTAATAAAGGACAATCAGGTCCTTTGTCACTTGACAGTAAAACCCAAGGCAAATGTTAGTTGTCGGTTAAATTTTAGGCAATCACTTGTTCCCAAAGACCACTTAACAAGAAGTTTGGGCAACAAGTTTATTGAGTCCGATTCGACAACAAGTACACTGAGTAGCGAATGACGTCGTAACTGAATCAATAGACTCCCTTGGGAGGGAGGACTGGGTATTGTACTTGCCCTTCGAATTGAGCTTATGACGGACTGATTCCTGCAGCGAGCCTTCAGATAAACTTTTCATGACGTTACTTATGATCGACGCGTAATTAATTAACCAAAATCGATTAATGTAATTATTGAACGACTTTTTTTTGTCAGTTAATACCCTGGCTATTCATTAGTTGTCAGTTAACCTCATCCAGACCCTCTGAAAACAGATTCACCGTGAAGTCACGCTGAAGGGCCTTTTTTGGGGGGGTTCCACAGTTTGCACTGGGGTGCCGTCAAGCAACTCCGCCAAATTTTGTGAAACAAGATGCAACTACCGCGGAGAAAGCAATTTTAAGACTGCTTCTGAGAATTTATGCGCGTGAAACGTGTTTCTTTTCCAAAGCTAACTGAGGAGGGTGGAGTTCAATGCGGGGTGTGGGAAACGAGTGTAGAACAGCGAGTGGGGGATGATGGGTAGGCCTCCGAACTTAAAAATTTCTGAATATGCGATTGCGAGAGGCTGGTGACGAGGCAGACGCAGAGTGATTAAAAACTTTGTAAATAGACATAACTGTCGACACAGAGGTATAGAGGTCCACCAGTGGGTTTTTCGGAAACCGCGCGGTTTCGTTGCGTTGCGTTACGTTATTCTAAAACTGTCTGAGAGTAAATCTACCTCTGAAGGGGCATGAACTTGCTAATTCGTTTCTTTTGTTCAGAGTACATAAGTGTTTTTTTTCTTGGAGGCACACATTACACTTTTTGTTAGCCTTGTCATATGGTTTACAATTACTGGACGTGAACGGATCTGTTGGCATCTTTGAGGGTGCACACCTGTTTGGACAGTTCCGTCTCGTTTCTTCTGTTCGCGTGTCGGAAGGATGTCAAGTGATTTCTGTACTGTTCTTTGAAGTTAGTGGCTACTGAGTCCAATGTATGATTCTGTTGTTGTCCCGGTCGTTACAGTCGCTTGGTAAATCACGTTTGTCGTCGTAGAGTGAATTGATTTTTTTTGCTAAACCAAGTTCAAAAATCCAGGTAAAACTATATTATTATTTAACAATTAATGAATGTGGCTGAGTATCTTATGAAGAATTATGGAGATCGAGGAGGGTGAGGCGGATAACACACTCCGAGATCTCCATAATTCTTCATATGATACGAAAGCCGAATTCAAAAAATTCTTCCAAATTTGGTCATCAGCAACTGGTTATGGTGAATTATGCGTGTGCTTTTAGCCAATCAGAATCGGGGAATATATTTTCCCCATATACAGCAACTTGTACATAGCACCTCTATCTCAGTGTTGTTCGATTAGTTTACAGCTTGTTGACTGTTATTCTTCTTCTCTTTGTTAAAGTAAACTGAATTACGTAGGCTAGTAAGCAATCCATAATTCGAGGCAAAACTTTCTCAGTTTGCCGGACAGCTACCGATGGCTAAGATTGATGCACTTACCTATAATGATTATTCAAATTAAAGTTTAATTTCAAATAAAGTGAAAACAACGAAAGACTACCATTTCTCCGAGAAGATAAGTTTTTATTATGATTCACCAAACAATCAATTGTCCCTGTTTTTCTGTGTGACGTGCAATAAAAATTACCAAGCTCAGCCAAACTTTCAAATCGAAGCAGTTTTCTCGCCTCTTTTTTTCCCGAGACATGCTGTCTTGTCATGCAGGCCCGTAGAAACGAATTTGAAAGTGAGAGGGGTCAAATGTTAGCAGTGCTGGTGGCGTACTCAACTGTTATATGAACCCAAGGCCCATTTTTGTAAAAGAAGGGGTTTCGTGCCCTAGGGCCATGGTGATGTTCCATCCTTTAAGGTGATTCCTTAGTAAAACAACCTAACATAGATTGTAGATGAAACTTGGTACACCGATGTAACAAGTCAAGAAGATGATAAAAAAGTAATAAAAAGTGGGGGTCACCGTGTTCGTTTTGACGTCACAATGCTGACAAATACGACTATTTAGGACCCTTTGGCAAAAACCCCGCACAGCCCAAAATTAGACAAAAAGGAGAGATTTTTTCGATGATGCATGTGGTATCGCACAGAATTTGAATTAAATGTATTGTTTATCCACTTACGTACCAGAAAAATGCCTTTTTTTGCCCCTGTTTTTACTTTACGCTCCAAAGTAGACTTAATTTTGACACGCGCTATTGGACCCATTATAGCTCAATCCGCACAATTTAGTAAAATTGTCAAAAAACTGAACATAGATTCTTGCCAATTTTTTTCTCATTGAAAGGAAGCACTGCTCTTATTAAAATCATGGAATAAAATATGGGGGTCACCCTACTCCTTTTTGCGCCGGAGCTGCAGAAAGTGCGCACCACATGCATTTTCTCCGATCTTCGAGAGAGGACTGGGGCGTGTTTCACAATATCATATATGTTAAACATGTATGTAGAAGGGGGAAGAAAGCATCAAAAAATCCGTTTTTACAGAATTTATATGGAAATATCATATTTGGAACGCAATGTGATAAAGATGGCGCTTAAATGAAATTCAAAGTGAGTTAGCAGGAGTTTAACATCTATTATCGAGGTTCTCCGTGAAGAAGTCGAACTGAGCAACACGCGTACTGCTTACGTTATGCACATTCCTAACACATAAAGTCTCATTTTGGCAAGAAACAACCGCTAGCAAAAATTCTTATAGCGTTTCTCTTTAGTTACTTGATTTTAATAATGTTACTTTAGCTCCTGACTTTAGATGCTCTTTTTCACGGCAGCCATCTTGTTATGCGCAGTAAGAGATGCGCAGTGCAAAACCAGTGAATCACCTTAAACACTGTATATGAATCTGCTTTAGCTCTTAGCTGAGAAAGTACTTCGCTTTTGCTACTAATTCCTGCAATAATTCGATCTCGCAACAGACTTTATTTTGGATACAACGATTGATACGATGGCAAATAACAACACTAGGTAATAGTTAGTCATCTGAGCAATCCCCCAAGGGGGACTGATGACAGCCCCTTCTCCTACATTGATATCACGTTACCATGTGAATATTCTTGATTTGCAACCACCTAATAAGGCGGCCATGTTGGGGGTCAGTACAATAGAATTGTTTTCTCGAAGAATTTACATGAAAATAGCGGTTACTTCCCAGAGAAGAGAAATGATTTTGTTCTTGATCACCAACATGGCCGCTGTGACGTCACCTGCAAATCAGAAGTATAAGGGTTCACTTTTCATTATGTCTAAAAACAAAAGCCTTCGTATGCTCGCAAGCTTTTATTAAAATACCCAGTGTTAGGCAACAGAACAATGTTAATGTGTATTTATTGGCCATCAAATTTAAATTACATCATGTACTGGCCCTCAATATCCGGCCACAATAAACATTGTTCGATTTTGAAAAAAGCATTCGGAAAAGGAATATTTTTGCCCCTGACTGAACTTATGACGTTTGTTAAACTTGATTATACTATGAACATAGCGGCTTTTATGGTTATCAACAGCTGTTATTTATGCAGTGTTTTTTCGAGATAAGTTCGCCATGTACCTCTCCAGTAAATTCCGCAGAACAGTAAAGCTCTCTGATTGTCTTCTGGCTTTAAAAAACATTAGTCAAAAGAGTTTGTTGGTGTGATGTTGCGATCAAGTGAGCTGTTCTCTTTAATAATATGTGCCTGCTTCGTAGTTTTCATTGCCAGAGAACTAATTAGCTAACTGACTAGTTTTAGTGATATTTTCATTTTGTTTTATGATTATTAAACTTTTTAACATAAACAAATGATTTTGTTTGTGTCTTTACAATCTGCACATGAAACAGAAAACAATCTTAAAGGTGCAATTCGGACTAGGACATTTGTCTGGTTTTCTTATATATATTTTCTTATCAAGTTCGTTAGTAAATGTTCTTAGTCTAAGTCTTAGTTGATACAGAAGTATAGTTGTTGTAAAGTTTCTTTTACAGCTTGTCTCACTTCTGGGATCTTCCAGCAGTACAGAAGCGGGTTTAACGACGAGTTTAAAAACACTAAGGTAGCTGTAAATTGCAAAGCAACGTAAGTAGATAAAGGCACCCCCCTTTGAGGTGTCAAAGCTGCAGCTATATCGTACGGCAGATAACAAATAACCAACGCTACCTGCACCCACAGTGCACTATACACTGCTTTTCTGTATCGAGCTTTATTCAGTGTATTTGCTTGGCTCGATTGCCCTTGAACAACATGGTTCTGACCATGAATTTGGTTATGACGTAGAGACATGAAAATTTTTGTGTAGGCACAAGTTGTAGTAACTAAACAAAAAGCTGTACCTAAATATACAAATAATGAAACTATATGAACATTCAGAAAGGATGTAGATGCACCGACAACGGACACAATCCAACCACCAATAGCAATTAAACGTGTTCTTTTAAAAGTTACAACTTGTACCGTCTGTATCTGAGACCCAGTAGCAAAGCGAGAAGTCTGTCCACGCTTATTGCAGTCAGTGTTATCAACGACACTCCACACAAAGTAGCACCTGCGAAACATGCTGTCAAAAATGCGTAATAGCAAATATCCCATCGTTCGTTCATCACAGAAATCCAATATGCAACGCGTACAGGCTCCGCAATGACACCAACACAGAGATCGGTTATCGCTAGGTTACGATACAGGAGTTTGGATGAGGGATGAATTGATATGTCCTTTCGAAGGGCAACTAGGATTAGAGTGTTCCCCAAAAATGCTGTAATGGACAAAAAAGTGTTAATGACAGAGAGAAAAACGAGCTCGCCATGTACCTCTCCAGTAAATTCCAAAGAGCAGAAAAGTTCTGAAATTGTTTGCGAGTTTTCACCTCCAGTAAAATTTTTCATTTCCATGAGTTTTCTGCGATGCGGCTACAGTCAACTGAACTCTTTTTTAATATATCTGTCCTCCTTATATGACTGCTACATGCACCTTGTCAGCGAACAATTAAATATTTGCTCTGTGTTTTCAGTAATTCGACGATCTTGGCGGTTGCCTTTGTGTTGCCGTGCGATTAGCGAGCAAATAGCACAATTGCCTGGCTCTTAGAAAACGAGTTAAACTGTTAGTATTAAAAAGTCTATTAACCAAGTCTTGATCGATATTTCTGTTAAGCATATATTCAAATTGAGTAAAAAACGGTTTTCGTCAATTGCTAGAAGTTAAACTGACGCGCTCATAATGTCATCGCAGGCAGTGAGGTCTCAGTAACAATGTAAAAATGTTCAAATAATGGGCTCGAAAGTCTGGGTCATTTACGAGGTGGGAATTAAAGAAAATAAAACGTTCGTTCGAGCTTAGGAAATTAGAATGTAACCTGTTTTTATCATATAAAAATCATGAAAAAAAATTGAATTCGACGATTAGCTGACAGCAATCAGCAGTTAATTTAGTAAAGATAGTGAGAGCAAGAACGAGAAAATTTTGCTAACGGAGGTGTTAAGTTTGTGAGCCGGCGAACATATGATATGCGGTGCCGTAAACTGCCGCTTAAAAGCCCTGGGATTATACATCTTTGTAAGGGTTTTTAGAAGGGCTCTTGATAAATTAAACAGAGGGGCTTATATCCGAGGGGGATTATAACGGAATTGGAAAAAGCTGTTCGAAACAAGCTAACGCAGTGCTGATTTAAATATGTTTTGCAGTTACTGGTAAAAGCCTCAAAATATCATAATAAATCAAATTCATTTCAATGCAAGTTAGAGGGGAGCTTATATTGGCGAGCCTGTTACTGGTGGGGCTTATATTAAAGTGTTTCTGTATTTTGTAGCTTCAGATTGCTTGTGCCGTTTTTAATTTCTATAATCAGCTTTGACTGACGTTCACATGGATACCGTGCAGGAATAAATTGGCCACATTTTCTTTAGAAGAGGAAGTCTTAACCGAGTATATCCCCAAACATGTCAAACTGTGTGGGCTATAACTTTAACATTTTGGGCGGTTTATTTGCAATTGCTTAAATTGGTATTTCACTACGTCAAGATCATATCTTCATTTAAATTGCTTTTTAAATTCATTTCCCCCGTTCACATCATTCCGGTGCGTCCAATTCGGATCTGCTATGTGAAAGGTAAAATATTTAAAATTAAAAACGCCATGGTGACGTTCATTTCGATTGAGTATAGTGAACCCAACATATTAACACGGAACTTGCACCAAAATTCACCTTTATTTATTTATTTATTTATTTATTTATTCATATTTATTCATATTTAGCTGTCCTCTTGTGTCTTAGAGAAAAATTAGCTCGCCATGTACCTCTCCTCGACTCTCCAGTGAATTTTGCAGAACAATACAGTTCTCTAATTGTTTGGTAGTTTGTCATTACCATGAGTTTTCTCCGAAGCAACTACGTTCAAGCGAACCTTTTTTTAATATATCTGTTTTCCTTATGTGATAGCTTCATCGTGTCAAAAACAAATTAGATATGCAGTGGGCTGTATTTTCATTTTATTAAACGACAGAGTTATTGGCAATCTTGTTGCTACCGTGCAATTGGCAATGAAACAAATAGCACAATTGTCTGGTTTTTAGAAAACGAGCTAAGCTGTCATGATCAGTGATACAAAGTTTATTAACCGAGTCTTGATCGATACATCTGTAGAACAAAGATTCAAATTGATCAAAAAAGGCTTTTTATTAATGAACTACTAATCGTCTCATCGCAGCCAGGAAGTCTTAACAGTTATACGTATGTTCAAAAAATGGGCTAAATTATGTCTGGGTCAGTTTGTACCATATACTTACGAGATGAGAATTATTAGAGAAAAAATGCTTTACGTTCGTTTTTGCTGCTACTATAAAATCTCTCTTTTTAAATCCAGATTAAAACATTTCTTCTTAGTTGATTAACCATTTGTAAATAATAGTTGTTTTTTGCTGCTTTTTGCCTGTTTTGTCCGTTTTGTTTTGCTTGCCTTTTATCCTTATTATATTTCAGTATGACTTTGCCGTTTATTTATTCATTATGTTTAGTCTTAGTTTAGGAAGGGAGCTCATATAATAAGCCCCAAGGTTTCGATTTGCGTTTCCTCGCCAGAAAATTTTTTTAAAAAATTCTTTTACTTGCAATTTCGTCTCTTTAATCTTTAAATAACATTTTTGTAATATATTGAATGTCTGTATGCATATGTATTTTTTTCCGGCAAAAAACATACACTGAAACTAAACTGAGACTGAAACAGTTTCAGAGCTTAGGGAATTATTTGAATGTAACTTGTTTTTCATGATAATAATAGACATGAAAACAAATTCTTAAATCTGAGGATTGACTGAGAGTAATGCAGTTTTATTAAGCACAGAGCAAAAACGACGAAATATAATGCAAAAACAGGGTAATAAAATGTAAATAATATATATAATAGAATTGAGTCCAGTGATGAAAAGGCGCCGCCAAGCTTCACATCTAGGTAGATTTACTTTGCGGAATAACAGCCGCCGAGCTACACAACTTGGTAGATTTACTCTGTGGCACAACGGACAACGAGCTTCACAACTCGCCTGTAAATTTACTTTGTGGCACAACGGACGCCGAGCTAAACAACCCGATTTGATGCATGCACCAGTAGTCGCACGCATTTTCCAGAGAAAAATATGAAGGCTTAATCCAAAGTAAAATTTCACTCAGGGTGTAAACGTTCACCAAACTTTTGAAAGATGAACGCTTTCAAAGATTCATGAAACACAGATCAATAATAGACCTTCAGCAAACTCTTAAATATGTAAGCTTTACGAAGATTCAGCACTCTTTTAAAAGATGAACGCTTTACGAAGACAGAATAACAGACCTCAGCAAACGTTTGAAAGATGAACGCCGAGGACACACAGAATCACCACGTGAGTTAGCGCGTCAAAGAGAGGCAAAACGTAAGCAAGCGCCTCAAAGCGAGGCAAGGGTGGATCGACACAAATGCAATGTCGAGAAAACCTCCTTTATTATTTGCACAGGACCCCCAATAATGAATAGGACACCCAACAGAAATTAGGGGTTGCGTTCTCGTACCTCGAAAGCAATGATTGAACTTTAACCCACATATAAGAACCTGCTTGATCTTGCTTGGCTAAACAGGTTCTTTTATGTTTGGGTAAATTAAAGTGAACAATTTCTGCCAGCAGGTTTTTAAACCACTAGGTTCTTATACGCGGGTGTTTTCAGTAACACGTTTAATCAGTGTAAATTAAGCCAGTAACTGAGTCACGTGATATACCGCTAGCCTGAACGCAAAACTTAAATTCTCCAGCGAAATTAATTCTGCTCGCGACTTTCCCCCTTTTACTGGAGTATATGGGCTTTGTGTATCGCAATGTTCGCTTGTATAAAAAATGATTCATCTAAAACCGTTCATTTCTTTTCGGGGAAGATTTTTCCGTAAAGCAAGTTTTGGTTTGGAATGAATTTATAGCTGAAAAGTAGAGTAGACCATCCTGTGATGCAAGTGTCAACGGCAAAATCTCTTGGAGTGCATATTGACCAAAACTTAAGCTGGGAATGCCACATACAGAGTATTTGTAAAAAGATTGCTTCTGCTTTGGGTGCAATTAAAAGAATACGACATCTTATTCCTTTTAATGTATTAATTAATGTTTACGACAGTTTAATTCAACCGCATTTTGATTACTGTAATGTCGTATGGAGCAACTGCGGCATTGGTCTTTCCGATAAGCTGCAGAGACTCCAAAATCGTGCAGCCCGTATTCTAATGTCCGCTAATTCTGATTGTAATGTGGACGATTTGTTCCTGGCACTGGGTTGGCGTAAGCTTAAACACCAAAGACAAGTATCGACGGCTATTATGATGTATAAAACCGTACATGGGATGACTCCCGACTATCTAACATCTAAATTTGTATCTCGTGACGAAATAACTTCTTATCGATTGAGGAATACTGAAAATAAATTAGTCCTTCCACTGCCCCGTACCAATTATTTAAAGAAAAGTTTCTCCTATAGCGGAGCTAAGCTGTGGA